GTTTTTCAGCGGTCGCGTGTGACCAAACAATCGAACAGATGGCCAACCGAGATTCAAAGACAAAAGGTGGACTTGTTGGTTTTACAATGAACCGTGCGTCTGTGCACAGATGGCTTCTTTCCCAAGCTGAGAGGGCCGMAATTACACGACAGTGTAAAGCTATGGCTGGGATAGACAGCAAACCAAGGTATGTTTCATTACTTAATTGCACTTTCTGGAAAAGTATGCTAAACTAAAGGTAATATTTGAATATAAATATCACAATGTTTCTTTTCAGACAAAGAAAGGACCCTATACACGCTTTTAATAAGTCCCAAGATATTGTGTTCTCCGCACTTGACGTCAAATTTATTCTTTTGAATTCCTTTTGTAGTGTAAAAATTTCAAAAGAATAAATTTGACGTCAAGTGCGGAGAACACAATACCTCCGGGACTTATTACGAGAACTCTGTGTGCGATGTAGTGGAGACAATATCGACTATAATGAACCCATTTAGCCAAGATCAGCCCGTGCTTGCCAACATTACTAGTGGTGTTGAACTGGAAAATGATTTTTTGAAGGGATTTTTTAATATTTACATGACGGATTAGTTTTGAGAACGTNGTTGCGGTGATTTTCTGTGACACGAACCTGGTGAAACATAGCTTCAATATCTGCCTGGAAAGCAATTGGTTCTCTCCGAAATCTTGTTAGGACTCCAACCAAGGAACTTGTCAAGTTTGGGCCTTGCAGAAATTGACTGTTTAGAGAAACACCACCATATCTTGCGCCTCAATCAAATACAACGCGGATCTTGTCCGGCTTGCATGGGTGGTACACCCCATGGTGAGGTAAGTACCAGATCTTTCCCGGTTCGGCTTGTCTTTGAATGGTAGTGGCATTACGTAATGACCTTCCTCGAACTTTATACCTTCTCCAATTATCTTAAGGAATTCTTTGTCGTCTTGGGAGTATCCTTGAGCCTCGCCATTATTCAACCTCTCGCTAAACTCTAGCTYCAGCRTGCTGTTTAAACCTTTAGGGGTTATGATCTCCTTGACGGTGCTGATTAAGACAATGTGATCCATTGATGTGTCGTTGTGGTTATCTTTTGCGCAGGTAAGATTTGAGATGAATCCACTCGGGCTGTTGTAACTGTGCGAGGGTCCTACGATCACCCAACCAGCAAACGTTAGAACAGCATATGGACTACCTCCTTGGCTTGCAATGAAGTCCTTGGGTTCGATCGCCTTTGCGCAGTTTGCGCCGATGAGAAGACCGATCTTCAAATCCTGTAGTTGTCGGGGAACTTGTTTAGCTATTTGGTCTAGATTTTTCCACTTTGTTGCTATCTCTCGTTGTGGTACTTCGTTTTCAGTAGCGGTTATTTCCTCTCTTCGGAAGGTTCGTGGCAGCTCTATACTGTTTTCTCCCTTGAGATCAGAGACTTTGAGGCCAGTCACAACCTTTGTACTTTGGTTGACATTCCGTTCATAGTCTTTAGTCGAATCATCGTGTCTGTTCCCTTTATCTTCAATCTCTCGTAGACATCTTCGGTAACAAAGGTGCCGGTACTACAACTATCCAACATTGCATAAGTGAATATCTGATTTCCCATCCATTGCAGCTTGACAGGAACTATAGGTAACGATCTTGGAATAGGTAACGATCTTGGCATTATTTTGTACTAAATAGTGGAAAGTATTGCACACATTTAATGTTTGTACTCCGATTACAGAAATCATAAATTAATATAAATTATTAATATATTTTGAAACTTTGACTTTTCAATCATACAGGATTTATATATATTATTAAATGCATTTTGCATTGACAGTTGAAATTTTTCAATCATGCAGAAATACGGTAATAAAAATAATAACAAATGCATCTTTATATATATGTCAATAGATTGAAATTGTTTGCAATTTTGTTTGTAAATTCTTAATAGTTGGTATTTTTCAATCTTTACAGGAATCATAAAATAATATAAATGCATTTTGACAGTTTTGGTATTATTCAATCATGCATAAATCATAAATTAATAATTAATATGTTCTTGAAATGCTCAAAATTTTTGATCTTATAATGAAAATGTTACACACTTTTGCTTACACCAATGTCATTTAATAAACAGAACATTACAGCTGTCATAGATATGATATGAATTTTATCTTCAAGTTTTGAATTTATTTATCCCACGAGTTAGCACAATATTTCCATGCACCCATGTAATATCCTTTATTTAATCACACAGGAATGAAAACAATAATAAATGCATTTTGGCAGTTGATATTTGTCAATCATACAGTGATCCAAAAAAATGATTTATGGGTCATTTGAATTTGACAGTTTTGGTGGTTTTTCAATCATACAGGAAACATACGTAATAAATGAATAATTTAATCACACAGGAATGACACTAATTACCTCAATACATTTTTGACATACAGTGATCATAAATGATAATACATTTTGACAGTTTTGTAAACAATTAAAGGAATCATAAGCTTAATGTTCATAATGATTATCCATTTTTCAACTTCTCAAATTCTTTGCTTATCTTTGCTCTCTGTATTTGTTGACAGTTTGTATTAAAGAGTTTATTGAAGAATAAAGAGTAAAAATCTGAACATTCAAATAATATCAAGGCTCTCTTTTCAAAATGCATAGTTTTATACTTAAAACATCCGAGTAGTTTTATGTCAAACAAGATTATTATTGTGGATAGAATGTACACACAATTCACACATATTTTCATTGTCAACAAGCTCATTTAATTGAGAAGTTTTGAAGTGTATCAGGTAAAGATTTTCAAATTCAAAAGCAAATTTAAACCAGACTAAAACTGCCTATTATAAGGTTCTTGAAGTAGAAGAATTGATATAATTGAGCACCAAAAACCGCTTGCATGTAAGCTTATAATCTAACATACCGCCATTTGTTTAATAACGCCACGGTATCGTCGGAGAATATGTCAGTTCTCCTATGAGAAATTCTCCCTCAATAATCGTTGTCTTTGGCGTTCACTTGTTTCTCGATTTGCTTGAGTCTTTATTAAATTGTTTCGTCTATCACGTTTTCTCTCCCTTTCAAGCCTGCGTTGTTCTTCACTTAGACTTCTTCGACGCTCTCTTTCTCTTCTTCTTGTCTGTTCCTCTTCAGATAAAGATCGCTTTCCGTTATTTACCCGTTGATTTTCCGACATTTGGCGCAGAAGTAAAGTATTTCAAAGGACAAAAATGGAGTCGTTGTGTCGTCGTTGTGGTGAAAAAGTTGTTTCAAAAATTGACGCGAGCGCGCTTCCTTTTCCCGCCTTCTCAAAAGTAGCCAATCAGAATCGCGATGTACACGGANAAACGTCATGTCTTTATCGCCCAAAATTGATGAAGTCCGCGACGTTGTTTTGCATGCTGATTTTGATTTAGTATGCATAACAGAAACTTGGCTCCGCGATCACATTCCCGAAAATATCGTCGCTATCCATGGCTACAACCTAATACGTCGCGACAGGATAAATGACCTGCATGGAGGTGTATGCGTCTATGTTAAGGATACCATCAAATATCAAGTGGTTCGAGATTTAATGAACGGAAAACTACGAAGCTGTTTGGATTTATTTACAACCATCACGACTCCCTAGGGGGGCATGCCTGGCATTGTACTCGGCAATGTTTACCATCCTCAAACCGATAAAGGGCAGCGAGGTACGTGCTTATCTTTACGAATCCATGACGACGATCGAGTCTCGCTTTCCAAACTGCGGTATGTTAATTACAGGCGATTTTAATCGATGGGACATTTTCCAACCCGCGGCAATCGCACACTCGATCTGATACTTACGAATTTGTCGGAATTCTATAGAGTTCCAATTAAACGACCTGCCTTTGGACTGCCAAGGTTCTATAGAATTTCAACCTGTGCATCTATCCCAACAACCCAAAGCAAAGCAGTGTACATTATCTAGAGACTTTCGTCCTTCGAACAAATGTGCAATGAGAGTATACCTTGACCTTGTTGACATCGAGGGTCTGGTGAAAGATAAAGTGTCATGTGAAGGAAAACTAGACACCTTTGAGAAAGTAATCGCATATGGTATGGATAATGTTATGCCTTTGAAATCAAAAACCTTAAAATGCTGATCCACCGTCACCAGAAAGCGTTATCCACCGGTAACACGATTGAATACCGTGCCCTAAGAAACCGTGTAAACCGCGAAAGGAAATCGTGTCGATCAAAGTTTTACACGTCTAAAATTAAACATCTTAAAGAGAAGAAACCATCAGTCTGGTGGAAGGAAGTGAAACGTCTCAGCGGTTTTACTCCAACTACTCGCCCAGACCCTGTGACTTACAGCACATAGAGAAAATGGACAGCACTTCGAGGATCTAAAAGATCTTGCTTCYTTTAYCAACAAAGCGTTCCTTGCGCCAATGAGTGAATTCAGTCCACTCGATCCTGTTATACCTGCTTCGAACCATCACGCAGACTACCTTGAATCACAGCCAATCAAGTCACCAATCACTCAGTAATGATGCTGTTAAATTCCCTCAATGCAAACAAAGCCACTGGGCCCGATGCTGTTCCAGCTTGGCTACTCAAGGAGAACGCTGATATTCCTTTCAAGAACGAGTTCTGCCTAGCTCATGGAAAATGGACGACATCGCCCCTCTTTCAAAGCAGAAACCAGTGACGGATGTTAACAAGCACCTCCGACCTAGAGAGAACAGAAACATTTTCGAGCCTGTTATTATAAATGGCAGCCCTATTGACACAGTACCAAATGCCAAGCTGCTTGGTCTAACCATCTCAAATGACCTCAAATGGAACTCACACGTATACGATATAGTGAGGAGAGTATCATCAAGATTATACCTATTACGTCAGCTCAAGCGCGCTCGTTTAGACACGAAAGAGCTCCTGTGTTTTTTTACGACGTGTATANCTTTCAAGCCTGCGTTGTTCTTCACTTAGACTTCTTCGACGCTCTCTTTCTCTTCTTCTTGTCTGTTCCTCTTCAGATAAAGATCGCTTTTCGTTATTTACCCGTTGATTTTCCGACATTTGGCGCAGAAGTAAAGTATTTCAAAGGACAAAAATGGAGTCGCTGTGTCGTCGTTGTGGTGAAAAAGTTGTTTCAAAAATTGAYGCGAGCGCGCTTCCTTTTCCCGCCTTCTCAAAAGTAGCCAATCAGAATCGCGATGTACACGGACGGACGGACGGACATATTCTCCGACGATACCGTCAATACCGATACCGTTATTAAACAAATGGCGGTATGTTAGATTATAAGCTTACATGCAAGCGGTTTTTGGTGCTCAATTGGCAAAGTTTACCCTCGACCTCTGAACCGTGAAGCTACAAGAACAGCAAGATTTCGAAACCTTCTGAACTGCGTGTTTGTTCCAGTTACTGCACCCAACATCACCAGCCTGTCTGATATCCAGCAAAGGGTTTTTGTGCCATCTTTGTTACTCTAAAACGTCATGTCTTTATCGCCCAAAATTGATGAAGTCCGCGACGTTGTTTTGCATGCTGATTTTGATTTAGTATGCATAACAGAAACTTGGCTCCGCGATCACATTCCCGAAAATATCGTCGCTATCCATGGCTACAACCTAATACGTCGCGACAGGATAAATGACCTGCATGGAGGTGTATGCGTCTATGTTAAGGATACCATCAAATATCAAGTGGTTCGAGATTTAATGAACGGAAAACTACGAAGCTGTTTGGATTTATTTACAACCATCACGACTCCCTAGGGGGGCATGCCTGGCATTGTACTCGGCAATGTTTACCATCCTCAAACCGATAAAGGGCAGCGAGGTACGTGCTTATCTTTACGAATCCATGACGACGATCGAGTCTCGCTTTCCAAACTGCGGTATGTTAATTACAGGCGATTTTAATCGATGGGACATTTTCCAACCCGCGGCAATCGCACACTCGATCTGATACTTACGAATTTGTCGGAATTCTATAGAGTTCCAATTAAACGACCTGCCTTTGGACTGCCAAGGTTCTATAGAATTTCAACCTGTGCATCTATCCCAACAACCCAAAGCAAAGCAGTGTACATTATCTAGAGACTTTCGTCCTTCGAACAAATGTGCAATGAGAGTATACCTTGACCTTGTTGACATCGAGGGTCTGGTGAAAGATAAAGTGTCATGTGAAGGAAAACTAGACACCTTTGAGAAAGTAATCGCATATGGTATGGATAATGTTATGCCTTTGAAATCAAAAACCTTAAAATGCTGATCCACCGTCACCAGAAAGCGTTATCCACCGGTAACACGATTGAATACCGTGCCCTAAGAAACCGTGTAAACCGCGAAAGGAAATCGTGTCGATCAAAGTTTTACACGTCTAAAATTAAACATCTTAAAGAGAAGAAACCATCAGTCTGGTGGAAGGAAGTGAAACGTCTCAGCGGTTTTACTCCAACTACTCGCCCAGACCCTGTGACTTACAGCACATAGAGAAAATGGACAGCACTTCGAGGATCTAAAAGATCTTGCTTCYTTTAYCAACAAAGCGTTCCTTGCGCCAATGAGTGAATTCAGTCCACTCGATCCTGTTATACCTGCTTCGAACCATCACGCAGACTACCTTGAATCACAGCCATTCCAAGTCACCAATCACTCAGTAATGATGCTGTTAAATTCCCTCAATGCAAACAAAGCCACTGGGCCCGATGCTGTTCCAGCTTGGCTACTCAAGGAGAACGCTGATATTCTTGCYGCTCCCGTGGCGGATATCCTGAATAGCTCCTTTCAAGAACGAGTTCTGCCTAGCTCATGGAAAATGGCCGACATCACCCCTCTTTCAAAGCAGAAACCAGTGACGGATGTTAACAAGCACCTCCGACCTAGAGAGAACAGAAACATTTTCGAGCCTGTTATTATAAATGGCAGCCCTATTGACACAGTACCAAATGCCAAGCTGCTTGGTCTAACCATCTCAAATGACCTCAAATGGAACTCACACGTATACGATATAGTGAGGAGAGTATCATCAAGATTATACCTATTACGTCAGCTCAAGCGCGCTCGTTTAGACACGAAAGAGCTCCTGTGTTTTTTTACGACGTGTATATGCCCAGTTACCGAGTACGCCTGCCAGGTCTTCTGTAACAGCCTTCCCAATTATCTTTCAGAGGATATTGAAAGACTACAGAAGCGCGCTATGCGCATAATCTTCCCTGAAACCAGCTATTCTGAAGCCTTAA